AGGGTGAAGGGCATGGGAGTCACGTGAGAGGACAACTCCCAGGAGATGCCCTCTTGTTCTACCCTGGCGGTCCTGAGACTCAAACTCAGGCCTTCAGGCTTGAGGGCAAGCACCTTTATCCTCCGAGCCATCTTGCTAGCCGCGCTGCTCTGTATTCTGATTTCTAGTCTCTATCCCAGTTCCTAGACTTGCCTCCTTGCTGTTTGTGTATGATGGTCACTGCCCTTGAGCAGGTATTCTTTTACCTTTGTTTCATTGTGAGTTGGCTTCTTAAGGTCTCGCTGTACTCTAGCTGGCCTGGAATCTGCTGTGTAGACCATACGGGCCTCAAATCTGTGACCATCCCCCTGCCTCTGTCTCCTGGGTCATTGGGATTACAAGCGTGGTCCACCATGCTCAGATTAAGGCAAATACTGCATTAAGGCCATGGGTTACCTTGAGAAGAATTACTGGATTTGACTATCCTACCTGTAACAAGCATTTCAAAACTTTTTTTTTTTTGTTTTTTTTTTTTTTTTTTTTTACTAAAAAGGCCTTTTAGACATGTGAAAATAGCTTAGGAAGCCTCTTATAACCAAGGCTGCACTCGACAACCAGAACCCAGTGACGTCACTCGCTCAAGATAACCAGACATGGTCCTAGACCCCATGATGCCCACTGGACAATCCTAAGCAGAGACCAGGAGCAACCCTCTGCTCTGCACATCTGGAGTGACCCCACCTTGACCTGCCCTCAGCAGAGTCTCCCCAGGACCCTGACCTTTGAATCAGAGACAGCTGTTAAAGACTGGACCTGACCTTCAGCTAAGCTGAGTAGCACAGGTGAGCAGCCTTGGGGAGACAGGCTTAGGATATAGTTGGGAACTCAGAGTATGAACTTTGGGTGATGACGTTAAGCATGACAAAATATAACTTTTGTTATAGCAACCATAAAATACAACTTTTGTTATAGCAACTATAAAATACAACTTTTGTTACAGCAAATATAAAATACAACTTTTGTTATATCAACTATAAAATAAAATTTTTGTTATATCAACTATAAAATACAACTTTTTTATTTTTGTTATATCAACTATAAATCATAACTTTTGTTATATCAACTATAAGACATAACTTTTGCTATATCAACTATAAGACATAACTTTTGTTATATCAACTATAAAACATAACTTTTGTTATATCAACTATAAAACATAGCTTTTGTTATTCTAACTGCATGCATTCCAACTTCTTGCTTGCAATACTATCTATACACAGGCAGGCTGTTTCTCAAGCTCGTACCCTGAGTAAAGTTGTATGCTGTCTTCACAGGGCCCAGCCCATTTCTTCTTAGGCAGATTCCTAGACACTTCACAGTTGCTTTTGAAACAGGATCTTCTTTTTTCTGTTACATTTTAAAAGTTATTTCTGATAGGAAGACTAATCATTTTTATGTTTTTCTTGTATCACCTTTTTATAGCTGAGGTGAGACCTCACAACCTCAGGGACTTTCTTTCTAACTTTTCTATAACTAGAAACTTCTAGTGAAAAGACAGTCTTTATCTAAAGAAATCCTGATCCTAACATTATACGGGGATGGACGTGGACTCTCTCTCTCTCTCTCTCTCTGTCTCTCTCTCTCTCCCTCAGATGGACTCAGTCTCTCTCTCACTCTCTCTCTTCCTCGCCCCCCTCTCTCCCCCTTACCCCTCTTCCTTTCTCTCTCTCCCCTCCCTTTCTCTCTTTACTCCCCTCACCCCTCTTTCTCCCTCTCCCCTCCCCCATCTCTCTATGTATCTCAGTTTTCCCATGCCTCAAGCAAGTAAATCTGTCTCATTCAGGAGATTTACACAATTCCTCAGCAAGGTCCCAGGCCTCCCTTCCTGTGCTCTATCTAGACATCGACTCTTTGAAGAACAATGACACTTGTCCTAATCTGCTTCACAGGGCGGACTTCTCTGTCCCTTTCTGTTATGGAATAATCCTTGACACTGTGTCAAGTTATTTCACTGGGATTGGTTTAATAAAAAGCTGAACGGCCAATAGCAAGGCAGGATTTGGGGGCAGCGAGGACGCTGGGAAGAAGGCAGAGTCACCAGGAGAAACCAGACAGACACAGAATGAGTTGGACACAGAAAATAGGATAGAGGTTAAAAAAAAACTCACATGGTAGAACATAGATCAATAAAAATATGGGCTAATTTAAGTTATAAGAGTTAGTTACAAACAAGCCTAAGCTATCGACTGAGCTTTTATAACTATAAGAAGTAGCCACATCATTTTTTTGTGAGCTGGAGGCCCAAAGAAAACTCTGCTTACACCTAGATGTCCTACACCTGAGGATCCCCACCTCCTGAATGGGAAGCACTGTCCAACAGCTGGCTCTTTTTCTCCTATGGCCACTTTAAAAGAGCAACTTCTTTGTCACAGTTGTGCCAGGGCAGCTTGCTTCAGTTGTTTCAGTTCTGCACCTAATCTCTATCAATTCACCAATAATAGTCAAAGGATTCCTCCCAGTGGCTAACACTGGGATTATTATAAACAGGTAGTCTATCTTTAAAATGCTACACTGTCTTTTCTTCCCCTATAAACATTTAAAATTATATCAAAATAATTAAATTATAAATTTCAACAAAATACTGCTAAAGTCACATCATAAATAACTTTGAAAAAAGGAATCATTAAGTTCTTCCTAGAAACTGTTCTCTAGCTTGTGGGCCCATGTAGTAGCTTAGGCTAACAGACTGTAAGCCGACATGAACTCTCTCTGATCCGGATCATTAATCCCCACCCACAACCAAATCAGAAGGTTCCAGAGCACGGGTAGGAGGTGGTGCCAGAAGGAACGTATCTCCTTCCTGAACAGCCTCCTCAGAGGACTGTACCGTGAGAATGAACCTTCACGTTAATCTACTGTGAAGACACACTTGTCCTGACAAGGCCCTCTGTATGGCTAGCAGAGAAAGACGTTACGGAAGGGGCTGGAGAGCAGCAGATGACGGAGAGGAGAAAGATAATGGCTAAGATCAAACTGAAGGAGGACTGGGAGGGTCCGGGGAAGCGGAGTCCCTCAGGAGTGTCGCAGTGCCAACATGCACGGCGACGCAATCAATTCAGTTTGGCTATGCTAACGTGCTGGTGTTTTAAGAAAAAAATCTGAGAAACGTTATCTCGAATGAATATAAATATAAACCAGAGAAACCCATAGGAGATGTGAGTAGAACAAGACTGGAGGATCCAGGGTCCCCACCGCTTGACACCCCTGGGACCCACACACACAGAGCCTGGATCCTGGGGCTCCGTAGAACGGGGTTAAAAGCCACTGGATGACATGGTCAGCTTTGGGTGGCTATTCCAGCAGGGGTCTGCTTTCTACATAATCTCTTAGTTCTACAACTAGCTCCCAACTTCATCCCGCCATGACCACATGTGACCAGACCCACTTCCCCCTACTCACACCGAGCCAACTGGGTGCTGATTCTGCTCTGCAACTTTTCTTTAAGAATTTCTGTTGTTAAAGATGGGTGGCTGGCTGGCTGGGCAGTGGTGGTGCACGCCTTTAATCCCAGCACTTGGGAGGCAGAGGCAGGCAGATCTCTGTGGGTTCAAGGCCACCCTGGTCTACAAGAGCTAGTTCCAGGACAGGCTCCAAAGCTACAGAGAACCCTCGTCTGGGGGGGGGGGGGAGAGAAAAAAGCAAAAACAACAACAACAACAACAACAAAAAGATGGGTGGCTAGTCTGTTCCTTACCCTCCCATTCCAGGTGTGGAGTTCATTCCACTTGACTCACTTCTTAATCTGATGCTGTATCTTTCTTTTCTCCTTTATTAAAAAAGTGTATGTCATCTATTTTGGGATGTTATTTTAGGACACAACTTGCTCTCCTCCGAGCCCATTTTTTAAAATATACTTTACTCTTACTGGGAAGAAAAAGATACCTTATCCTCTAAAATTCTCCCTTGTAATTTTTTCTCAAATAATTTGGCCAATTTCTACTGTTAGTTTTTTTTTCTACAGAGATACTGGTTTTTTTTTTCTAATTTGCTTATCATTAAATTGGACATTTTATTCATTTTGAGACTGCCCAGAGGTGAAAGGCTGAAGATGACACACCCATCTTGGACAGTGGAGAAAGCCAAGAGGCACTGATGTCAAGTGTGAAGTCTTCTGCTGCCCACCTGGGCCTCACACGGCAGGACGTGCTTCTTTACAAAGACAGGAGCTAGTTAGCTCAGGGGCAAGAGGCTGCATTTCTCTCCTAACAATCATTCAGTCTCCTTACAAGATAATGAAACCTGTCCAGTGCCAAGAAGGAAATAATCCCCTCTGAAGAAACAAAAGCCAGAAGTGATTTCCACTACTCTGTAGAGGAAGAGGGGGAGAGGAGGGGAAGGAAAGAAGGGAGGAAGGGAGGGAGGGAGGGAAGAAAGGAGGGAGGGAGGGAGGGAGGGAGGGAAGGAGGGAGGGAAACAGAAAGCTAAGTAGCAAGAATATAGCTTGGAAGGGGCTGACTTTCTTTCTTTTTTTAAATTTATTTCTTTTTATGTGCAATGGTGTTTTGCCTGCATTTATGTCTGTGTGAGGGTGTCAGATCCCGTGGAACTGAGTTACAGACAGTTGTGAGCTGTCATATGGGTGCTGGGAATTGAACCCAGGTCCTCTGGAAGAAGAGTCGGTGCTCTTAACCTCTGGGCCATTTCTCCAGACGGGGGTAGGGGGATGGGGCATGGGGGAAAGGTACGGCTGCCTTTCAATGCTTATAAATGCTTGCGGAAATTCCTATTAGAATTAGGAGCCACTTTGAATACCAAAAATGCCACATGAAGAGTCTAACTGCTCTATGTTTAGAAGGTTTATATAAGGCAATTGAGAAGCACAGGGATCTTTGTGACATCCACGGTATTACACACGTTCAACAGCCCTCCATCAGAGGTACTAAGAGAAACTACAATCTGTACTTTTCAACCACTCTGTTAGAACAGATAGAAGAGGTCACTGAATCAAATTTTCATCTTACCCTGAAAAATCAGCAGAATATTGTCCATAATCAAAGATATAGACTCTAGTAATCTGACACACTGTGAGGTATCCCAAAGCAAACACAAAACAACATCTGTAAAACAAAAATAAGCTGGATTAGTGGAAACGTTCATTCCGTCAGAGGACACATTGTACAGAAACTCACTGATTCACAGGGCTCCATAATTACATAATAGTATTAAGTCGATCCTACAAATACCTTGACCTAACAGATTATGAGAACTCTCTCCTAACATGTGGATGGTTGATGAAACGGACCACTGCTGCCATTCAATTTTATTCTGAAAGACAGCCACATATAAGATTACATATGTGAAAGTCATGAACACAAGCATCGAAAGACATGATTACTGGTGACAGCTTTTTTTAATTGATCGGTTACTGCTCCCATAGACCTTACACAATTCTTCACTAGATTCCCTTCATCTCTTCATATGTGTGCGCACGCGTCTGCACGTAGGTGGACACATGCATGTGTTTGTGTGATTACGGAGACCGGAGGTCAGTGCTGGGAATCATCCTAGATCATCTTCCCGCTTCCTGAGGTACAGTCCCTCAGTCAGATCCAGACCTCGCCAGGATGACTAGTAAGAGCCAGCTTGGTCTGGGGACCCCTGCCTTCAGAGACTGAAACTGTAGGCAAGCTACCACCACGCCCCCCCCCCACGAGTTCTAGAGAAGCTGACCTCTGGCCAATGCTTTCCAGCAATTTTATTTGATTTTTTAAAATGTGCCCTCAGTAGCCTAAGTTCATACCCTTTAGAGTGAATCGGGGGTGCTCACCCAGAACTGGCTAGAGACTTTACAGGCACAACCAGCTAGTGACTTTCCCAAACTCAAGGTGCTCAAGATGGTATTACAAGTGAACACAGTGTGGAAAATGAGCTCGTGTATCCACGGAAACCCAAAAACCACATCCTAGAGAACGTAACTTCATATAAGACAAGGGCTGAAGTTCAAATTCTCAGGGTAATAAACATGTCATTAGTCAACAAGTCAGGAAGGGCAGAGAAAGCTAGGCCTTCCTCATGCGAAGACCATTCTAGATGGATTAAACAGTCAAATTCGAAACCATACCAAGCGGGAATTACAGCTAAATATTCAAAAGTAGCTCTCAAACTGGAGGGTTTTCTAAGCATTCAATACAGAAGCAATCAAAGGGGGAAAACACTATCTATTTGGCTAAACTAAAACTTAGAGTTTCTCATGTACATGATTCAGGTGGCTTTATGAATGAGCTCTTTAAAGCTCTGAAAAAAAGAAAATCTGGGAGAGAGGAAAAAAAAAAAACTGGGTGCGGTGATGTACACATTTAATGCCAGCACTCAGGAGCGGAAGCAGGTGCGTCTCTACGAGTTTAAGTCCAGATTGATCTACATTAAATAGAAAGACCCTGTCTCAAAGAAAGGAAAAAGAAAGAAAGGAGAGCATACTAAATCCAGTACTTATTTAATAAAGTTATTTCAATCAATGTCAGTGTGTTTTATAACTTCAAGTAGGAGTTTATATAGGAAGGCTAGCAGTATTAATCATCATAATGATGAATCAAAAAGATACATGGGCATTTGCAAAAACTTCAGTCAAGCCGGGTGGCAGTATTTGGCTGAAGCATGAAGACTTCAGGTTCAGAGGCCTGCCTCATACTACACAGTAAACTCACACCAGCTTTGACAACGTGTAAGATACCATTGTAAAATAAAAAGTAAAAGTGCCAGGGACGTGCACAGCTCAGTGGGAGGGCACATGCTTGCTAGCATGCATGAGGTCCTGGGCTCAGTATGACTCTGTAAAGGAGGGAAAAAAAAAAAACTCAATAAAGAAAAAAACTCTTAGCAAGCTGAGGGGTAAAAAAATGATGTTTCCTCAACATTAAAATGTCTAAACATAAACACGACGCTGGGAAGATTACTTGCTATACCAGCAGACAGACCCAAGATCAGTCCCCAGAATACACGAGAAAGCCCAGCATAGTGGTACAGGCCTGTAACCCCAGCACAGGGGGAGTCAGGACAAGAGGACCTTTTGAGCTCAGTGGCCAACCAGGGTAGCTGAATTAGAGAGCTCCAGACTCTGTGAGAAACTATGTCTCCAAAAAATTAGGTGTTGGGGGCCAACTAGATGGCTCAGGAGGTAAAAGCACTTGGCATGAGGTCTCTAGAACCCACGTAAAGGAGGTAAGAAAACCAACTCCATAACAGTGTCCTCTGATTCCCACATATGTACTATGGTATGACTCCCGATCATATAACACACACACACACACACCACGGACACACACATGGACACACGGACACGGACACACACACATGGACATGGACACACAGATAAGAACGATGTGGAGAAGAAAGACATTTATCTTTTATCTCCACATGCACAATGTGTGCTTTTGCACACATATATGCACATACAATACGTATGTACACACACACATTCACGCACACGTGCACGCACACGTGCAGGCTCTTGTCAGTCCTGAGATAGTAGTAACTCGTAAGGAAAGAACAATCAGGAAGCGTGGGGTGGGAAAGAAGAGAACCATGTGTTGGACGGCCTCACTTTACTTGTAGATTAGAAGACTCGGTAGTAGTAAATTCTGCTCCTGTTAAATTAATTTCTAAGTTTAGCATCATAATCCCAATCATAATCCTAACAATGCCTTTGGTGGGGGTGAACCAGCTGATCTTCAGGGGGTTCTAGCTAACTAAATAAACACGTGCCAGGGAGGCTCTGCCCCATTCTAACGCATAAAAAAAAAGTGCTGCGAGCATTTAAAATGTAGCATTGTTTCAAAAATAGATCAAAGGATTACTCAAACAAGAGACAGTTTAAAAAGACTCACTGTCCAACTGTTTATGATAACACTGGCATGCTAAACCAGGGGCAAGATGAATGAGGTTTAGTGAGCCGAAACAATAGCTCTCTTCTGAGATGGCTCCCCAGTGCACACTAGACACAGGAAACACCAATCAGTAAAATATGAAAAGATATAAATGTAAAAAATAATATGCGGAGTCAAACAATAAGATAAAAAAGAACACCTGGAGAAGGGACAATCACATAAGCACAAAACACATCAGACATTTTGGTACAATGAATTACGAAGCATTACATGATAATGTAACAGAAATCACCTAGTATGCAAGCTAGGTTAATGTCCCTAACAGAGAACTTCCAAGCAATAAAAAACAGATGAAGAAATAAAGTGGAAAATAAGAATGATAAGGAGCAGATTATATAAGAAAAATGTAACCATCATTTATTTAGGAAAATAAATGAGATTCAGTCAAGCAGCTGTCAGAGACAACTTGGAAACTCACAGCAGGCTGCAGACTGTGTTCAACACAGATAGAAAAAGTCCAAAGAGGGTATAACTCAGGCTGGACAACACAGACAGGTCAAGTCTAAAGTGGGTAATACACAGGCTGGACAACACAGACAGACAAAGTCTAAATAGGATAATACTCTGGCTGGACAGCCAGACAGGTACAGTCTAAAGTAGCTAATACTCAGGCTGGACAGAGGACTCGGCTCTCATGCTTTTTATTTTTAGCATCTTTGTCTGTCTATGTATCAATCAGTCTATCTATTGTCTGTCTATTGCATAGGGGGGTGTGCATGCCACTGTGGACATTATAGGATCACCCCACCCCCAGTTTCTTCCTTTTTAATCAAATTCGGGGTTTTCCTGTGTGCTAGCTGAGCATTCAACCAACTGAGCCACACCGGTCTGAGGAATAGAAATTTTAGAGTCTCTTAAGCACATAATTTTTCAGCCTACATTACCATATATCAAATATATGCCATTATACTAAGAATGCAAAGAATGCATGTTACATAGTGCTTGAACTGACAATTTCATGTACTTATTTCACCTAATACATTAAGGACAAAGTTGTGGTATATATCCTGCAAAGGTCTGCAGTATAATTGTGGTAATACTATACAATGATACAATACTGTGCAATTCCACCCAACTCTACATTCAGAGATTTCAGTTCCTACCTTACTAGGGTGGAAGAATTTGTGGAACAGAAACTGATAAGATAAACCTGGTCATTAAAACCAAGATTATCAACTCTAACCTCCAGAAAAAAATCTTATCCAATGTCTGGTTTTATAAACATATTCTTATTTGTCCACACCCTGCTCACTTGAGTATTACAATGGCTGCTCTTGTCTTACAGCAGCCTTAGAAGCCTAAAATAATTACTGTCTCATCCTGTTAAAGGAACTTTTGCTGACGCTAATTAAGGACTAAATTGTAGGTGGAGATAGTAATAATTCACATTAAGTTTTAATTAAAAGTAGCAGGATATCAGTCATTGTGAGGAATGACATCACCACCACTACTTCATTAGCATATATGTCAGTCAACACTCACTTTAGAATGACATTAGCACATCATTAACATGAGCAGCTGCTTTACTGATCTAGATGGTAATTTAGCACCTACCTGTAGGCAGCACAGCAGGCCTGCAACCACAGGTTAGTTATAAAAACTTTGGCACTAATCAATGAAAGCATACCATGGGAACTATGGGCACAGAATTTACAAGCACGTGGACTGGCCATTCGCTGTCTGTATATTATATACTACACATCCGCTAGATTCATGATTCTACAATAAGCATAGATGGCACTAGCTATTAAACTGATTCCAGCTCCCGATCCAGACACCAAAATCCACAGGGGGCAGGTCCCTTATGTAAAATGGCACAGGGGTTACACAGAAGGTAACCTGGGGCGGGTGACTTACAGTGGCTAACGCAAGGTAAGAGACGATAAATGGCTGTGCGCGGGGGAATAACCAGTCTGTGTATGTTCAACACACATGCCATGTTTTCCTAAAGTTTTTCTGGCCACAGTGTTGACCGCACAGATGTGGAAGCCACGGAGAGAAGGCTGGCTGCCTGTTATATACCTGTTCTCCAGAAAGCTAGTTAGTCATGAGACACGGGCTGACACTTTCTGATGACTCACGTTGCTGGGTTCCTGGAAAGTGGTTAGTGCAAGCTGAACTCATTATGATGATAAAACACACCCAGATTCTGGGACTGGAAAGGCAAAAACTGA